TAAGGGGGTGGTGTTCAGAGTTTTGAGTAGGTTTGGTTGAACTCAGATTACCTGGGCTTGCACCAAGCCCTGCCTCATCACTAGTCTTCACTCTTGTTTGTTATTTTTTAACTAGGATGAAACTAAAGCTCACCATACACTGGTAGATTTTTGTACGAATGTTCATACGCAAAATCTCTCGAACATTTGATAATACCATCAGAGACTTGAATGTCATTCGAAATTTTGCTTGGTTTTAGCATTCGATTTTGGGAATGAGTGGATTTTCTTAAACTAAAACCACATTCACTGCTAGAATTTTGTTTTTAAAACTTTTCCATCCTGCTCCTTTGATTTGTTTTCCTTACTGGGGTCAAACAATGACTAATTTGACCCCATTACCTATTAGAAGATCAAAAACATTTTTTTTGCAAACAAAATTCTACAGGTGTATTGTCAGTTTAACCCTGTAAAATCTATTTGTAGGTTATTTAGTCTGTCTCAATCTGGTTACTTAATGCCACCATGTTCCAGGTATAATTAATTATTTTTAATAGAAGGATAATAGAGAAAGAATATTTCTGAAAATGCAGTAGATGTTCACTTTAAAAAAAATGCCCCCAGTCCCCCTCCCTATCCCACTCAATAACACTAGCATTTTTAAAGAACTTTAAAAAAGTTTTTCAGAAATTTGAAAAATGTATCCCTGCAGTGGAGCTAAATGCACACTGCAAGGGCTAAGTACTTGTTTTGGCTAGGGTATGTGAAAAGAAGCACATATATTCACCTAATCCTTATTCAACATCTCTCTTCCCCTCTTCTCTGGCTGTCGAATGTCCCTCGGCATCCTTACAACTAATGCAAGTCAATGGACCTGCATTAGAGGTGATGACGTCACGGGTCTTTAGTAGTGATGGGCCGAACACGCCCCATGTTAGGTTCGAATTTGAACTTGATTCGAATGCTCGCTTGTCCTCCCCCCTCCCTGCGATACTAGGCCACATGCCCTCGATCCTGGGAGAGTGCTTTTCCATGGTCGCCCCCAGAAAAGCATCTGTTTCCCGTGCAGATGGGGACAAGGGCATTTTCCCCACAAGCCCTGGGGGGTGCAGGCAGGGGGCCTATTCACATCAGGGTACCCCTTTATTAAAGGGGCACACAAACACAGCCCCCCCTTGTGAATAAGTAAGGGTTAAATCACTAAAGGGTTAAATAAAATTGTAAATAAAAAATCTTTTATTTTAAAAAAAAATTGATCCACCGACGTAATCCAGGGTCAATCACAATGTACAGCATTCTCCACAACGACGAAGGCTCGACAAAATAAAAAAACAATTAAAAATAAATAGAAATAATGATAAAAAAATAAAAACCCGACGAGCGCTGTCCCGTCTGCTTGTGACAAACAATTGCCGCAGAATGGCATTTTGACAGATGCCGGCAAAACATAAACAATTCCACGGAGCTAGCAGTGACAGCTAGCTCTGCCCAACTGTTTACAGTTGTAAAAAGTGAGCCATGATTGGGCAAAGTCATCATAACTTTGCCCAATCATGGCTCTCACATTTATCTGTGCCCTGAATGGGCAAAGTCTTTAGACAATCAAGGCTCACAAGGCACAGTGTCTTGCGGGGAGCTTGGCGGGTGAACAGCCCACCGAACGCTCTGACAATTCGTGTGTTCAGCAAACACACGAACTGCCGATGTTCGAGTCATACTCACGTTCGGCACGAACAACGAGCCCATCACTAGCCTTTAGGCTGCCAAAGCCCAGGGGAGAAGAGGCTGCCGGGACTGATATAGTGGCCTGGAGGTACCAAAGATCAGGTAAGTATATCTTCTTTATTTGACTCCACTAGACAAAACGACAAAACCCTTGCAGTGCAGGAGTTACAGAAGTTCTTCTTAAAGCTGAATATGAGCAAATATAAAACATACACAATTAAAATTAAGGTATTGTCTATTTTTAGTGAGTATATAGGCTGAGTTACATGAAAACTAAGCCCATTGATTTATCTGTTTCCCAAAAGAAAGTTTTATATTGGAAATGTTCAAATACATTTAGTAAATCCTTATCCACACATACCAATGGTGTTTTCTGCTATTTATTTACATTTTTTTCAATTAGCACATCATGTACAGCATATTATACATCCATGTCATGTTTCTGGGGATGACTGCCACAGCTGCCAGCAAGCCTTCAAGCCTGTACAAGCCTTCAAATGGATGGTTTTAAAGATGATTACATGTGCAGCACCATAGCAACCATAGATCTAAACAGAGGTTGGATGTCCTTGGCAGCTAGGAATATAGGAGGGTTTAGGTCCACTTTAATGAGGATTTGTAATTTGACTTTCTCATTTTTACATGTGTTTAAATTCTTCTATATTTGTGATCTTGGTTTTTTGTTTTTTTTTGTTAGACAAGATATCAATCACCCAGGGAATGCATTGTTTTCAATTAACTGTCAGATTTAAAGACTTGCCTTGCGAGAAGGAGGAGCATTAAAGCTCAAGCATTGTGTAGAAAAGCAGGAAGTAGAGCCTGTATATGTAATTAGAAAATATAGCTACCTAAAAATTACAAATATAAACACAGTTTTGAAAACAAAACAAAAAACACATTGAAAAGATTATTTGTATCCAGATAATCTATTTTACATACATAGCTCAAAAAATGTAAAAAGGTTATATAATCCCTTAAAATGCAGGTATGCATTTATTTATTTTTTTTTTAATTATTTTAAATTCAGCTAGTCCAAGTAGCTAAATCTGTCTTCATATCAGCTTCCTGCACTTCTCTGCGCAGAAGAACTCACAGTGAATGCACAGGGCCAGTGCATAAGTACTGAGAGGAAATATACTGAGCGAAGGAGAGCACATAGTTGCTGCTTCTCACTGTCTGTCCGCCAGAAGCTGTGGCAGGGAGGTGTTCAAGCTGTATTGTGAAACTGCAGTCTAGTGATCCCTTCAGGAGACCTCTGTAGTACCAACTGTTACAGCATGGCATGTGTCTGCATCCAGGTCCTCCTCCTCTCGCCACAATAATGCCTGGTCTTAATAAGGTGAGCCTATTTCGTTGCCTGATGCCCAGTACCTCCTCATTTTGCATCAGAGTTCAGGCTTTCAGAGACAATTCTATCACAACCAAAACAACATCTCATCAGATGCCTTGCAAGTGTGTTTTAACCTTGTATGATCTTTTCAAAATTTGGGCAAACGTGTCTACTCAACCAAACACAAGATGGAGCATGATTGCATGCTAGAAATTGCAGTCTTGGGCATGAATGGCATATGCCATCATATACAGAAGACTTTGCTGTGACATCATTCTCCTGCCAGGTTACAATGATGTGTCTACAACAGCAGGAATGAGAGACTAGAACTTTGGTTTAGGCAGGGAAGGGGGAGCAGAATATTGTGGTTCAACGCATTTTAAGAATTCTGCTTTAATCAGCGTACTTATGGTTTACTAGGTTAATTAGGTTTTGGGCTTGCTGATTTTTAAATGAACAAAGACATTTAAAGGTAATGTGCTAAAAAAGTCAGTAGTTTTCTTGGCTGTGCAGGGCCAGGAGGGATGCACAGTGAAGATCTCGGATGGAGGAGTTGAATGATCTATACTGCATGTGCTTAGGTGAGGGAGAAGGTGCAGATATATATACTGTAGGTGCACTAAGGGTGGGTTCACACCTTATGCGTTGGGGCTACGATGGCTGTTTCCAGCGCAGCCCCAATGCAAGACAAGGCAACTGCCTTGTCACCGAAGTGCTCTGTTCACACTACAACGCACAGCAGTTGTGGTGGTATGCGCTGAAAAAACTATGGCATGCAGTTATTCTTTTCAGTGCAGCGAGATCCGATGCAGTCCAACCGCCTCGCACCCAGTTTTGCCCATAGAACTTTATGAAATGTCACTTGTGACACTTTAAAAAAGTTCTAAAAAAAAAAAGTGCATAGTGCAATGTGCCGGGCACGGCACACCAGCCACTGTACACTTTGTGCAGCGACTGGTGTGAACTGGCCCTAAAAGTGCACTCTTTGTGCAACTATATAATTCATTCATTTGAAAGAACAGTGAGGGAAATTTATAAAAACTGGAGCAGAAGGAATCTGGAGCAGTTGCCCATGCCAACCAATGAGCTTCTAGCTTTCATTTTCAAAGCTGAACTGAACAAACCCAAAAGAGAAACGGATTGGTTCCTATGGGAAACTGCTCAAGATTCTGTCAGCCCCAGTTTTGATAAATTCCCCCAATGTCTCTTTCAAAGTTTTTACACAAATTCAGTCTTATACAAGTAACAAATCAGATTTTCAGTTCCACTTCAACAAATCCTAAACCGTAAAGGAAATATGCCACTTGTAGCTGCACATGAAGAATATGTTTTTAGGTTCAGCGAATTGTATTTGACAGCATTTGGCCCTTGTGGTTTGTCTATTCCAGTCTGTTACTTGGTTTCCAAAAGCCTAAAGACACAGTAAAGCACATCTGAAGAGGAACAAATGAGCCTTCCGGAAAGGAAGTGAACAGGCTGCCGCAAAAGACTAAATAATGACTATGTTTTTGCTGTGAAGATTGGTACTCGTGTTTCTATGATCAAACAGAGGAGAGGAAGCTACCAGAGAAATCTTGATTTTACTGTCACTAACAGGGCATTTGGGACATTCTGGGCAGTGATTACCCTTGATGTGTTCCAGCGCTTCCCTTGTTTCTGCATACATTTTTAGAAATATGTACTGTCCCTGTGCTTTCATCATGGTCTGTTGGTTGTGCTTGAATATTTTTTATGTTTATCCTCTTTTCATAAATTAGTAGCTTACAGTCAAATGTGGTTGCACAGCAGATATCTTCCAGCTTGCTCACCCTAATTGATCTGCACAACACATGTGTCTTGGTATCAGACCTGTAGCTGGTGTCCTTACTTGAAGTCGAGGGGAAGCACATGCTTATAAAACTGTTTCTAATCATACGGAGCTGTACGGAATGCGGTTCAGTTGTTAGTAGACACAGCTGTGACTTACTTTTGTTGAGTTCTCTGGGAAAGTCTGGAAGCCTCTGCCGCAGCTTTTCTTGCCTCAAACTCTTCCCTCTTTAAAACCTCGCCACTTCCTCTGTAGCCTAGCTCAACTAGCTGACGGGCTAACTCTTCATCCTGAAAAATACATGGTGGTTGATTACAATGTGACATACCTCATATAACACAAATTTATTACAAAAGGTTCTCAAGTATAAAGCATATTTTCCCAAAATGAATCCTCTTGTTTTTTTTCTCTAAACTGCTTAGATTAATGTAAGTATTTCCTGGAAACTCATTTGTATGATGCAAATTTATCCTCACTGTTGTGTAAATTACTGTCTCTTGTTAAACAGATAAGAGCATAACAAAATTAACATTCAAATGAAAACAGTAATCAGGAGGATACCTTGCATCGGTTTTGAAGGATAAAATAATGCTGCTAGGCCAATAACAAAAATGAAACAGAAAGACAAAGACCTGTTTAAATACATAAAAGTTTTGCTGCCAACATAATGCAAGTCCTGGGCGTTAACATTCTAGCACAGCCTTTGTTAACAAGGGTACCATGGTACCCTGGGGTGCCTTATGACATCTTGAAGGGTGCCTCAAAATTTCAACCAGCACCATGGAAACGAATGGTAATCCAGAGAGGGTGGTATCCATTCAGAAAAGGACAGTAGTTCTCAGATATTCAAGCCTGCTCCTCTTCCCATCGTCTGCCATGCTGCCACAGCTGCAGCTCATGATATAAAAGGGGGCTCCTGATGTGAAAAGGGCTTCTCATGTAAAAGAGAGGGACTCTGATGTGAAGGGGGCTCCAAATGTAAAGGGGGCTCTGACGTGAAAGGGGGTATTCTGATGTGAAAAGGGGGCTCCTAATTTGAAGTGGGACTCTGATGTGAAAGAGATTTTACGTGGGGTCTTCCCTTAAAATCAATACCAGACCCCTATCTGGGATAAAGGTCTGGTATGGATTTTTGCATTTTTACATTTATGTTTTTTACATTTTAGATAAGGATGGCTCAAGATTTTGCATACTTTTAAAGGGTGTCTTGACTGAGAAACAGTGTTCTAGAGCCATATACTGGTAGCATTATATATCCCAGGCAGACCTGCACCTGCCAAGTTTTCTGCATGCAAAATGAGAAAGCCCAACTAAAAGAGGACTAAAGCATTGACTAAAAGCATTCTTGGCTCACGCTTGCTTCATATACCTTGAAAGTGATTCTTATTTAAATAAGATGTCATAAATGGGTTGTGTTATACACTCGATATCCTATTAAATGTAGCCCGTAAAGTTTTTAATGCTGATGTGCTAATGTAATCATGCCAGTTCCACCTGGTTGCTTTTTGAAACGGACCATACTAGGCACAGAAGCAGATTCACCCTAGCATGGTCAGTTTGTGTCTCCTGATTTGAGAGCTACAGGATATGTTGCCGATGTACAGTGTGCATGTAGTCCCATAGTCAGATTCAGCTGCCAAGCCCCCATTCAACCGTCCACATTTTGATTGAGAGTGGCAGGAGCTGTACTGTCTGTAGAGCAGCTAAGAGTCTTGGGATGTTACCAAGCACCTTATTAGGAGGAGTTGGCTACCTCCAGGTACACCTGCATGCAATTTATCGACTGCATTAATATGCTCACACTTGGAGACTCGTATACATAGAGTTAGGACCAAACCTTGCAGAGGTGCCTTGGCGCGGCGGTGTGGCTTCTACATATTTTTGGCCAAAAGTTTGTGCAACTAAAACCTCTGATTTTAACGCATACTGTTGACAGGGCAATTTGTTTGGTTGCAGGCTAGCTGGCAGGTGAAGCTGGGGATTTTTTGTGTTTTGTAATGTTACCAAGCCTCTTTTGCAGGCTCCACACCTAGCCCTTCGAACTTTGGAAGAGGACGGGGAAGAACTATCACATGACCAGATCAGGCTCATTATTTTTTATAATTAAAGTGGGGCTAGATATTGCTAATAATGCCTAGTGTATTTGTGTGTATTTTAACTCCTTTGCTTTCACGTTCACATTGATCTGATACAGGCACTGTGTTAAACATTTGTCCAGTAGTTATAGCATGTTTGCACACAAGTGTCTATCATTCTAAACAGGCAAGATTTAGTGTTCCAGTAGGCACTAAATTCCAGTTTATTTGAGAGCTGTACACCTTCAGATAGGAGTAAATTAAGAGCAAATTCACACAACATTGATTGGGATGCATTGCTCAACACAGGCCCAGTGCTATGACGAGCTGAAATCTTATGTTTTCAACAGACTCACCAGCACATTGCGTGGATGTGCAGTGGGAGAAAATGGAACATACTGCATTTGAACGCAGTGCAATGTGTTACAACATATAACATTGCATTGCATTGCATTGCAATACACATTAAGGGGGGGAAAAACGGTTTATTGGCCCCAGTTGTGGTCAAATAGACTTGCACATTAATGCAACCCTTTAAAAAAATGTACATCATTACAAAATTATGTCAACTGAAGTGTATTTAACAAGCATTAATGGAAAAGTCCACTGGAGAGAACATGCAACTACTGCATTTTGTATTATTCTATAATACAAATATCAAAGGAAATCAAACGAGTATAGTTGTTATGGCGTACTAATAACAGTAGTTGAGAAGGATGAGAAGGATGTTGTACATCTTCTCACTGCTAACAATTTAACAATGTGTCAAAAAAGGAGCATTGAAGTTCTATAAAGGCAAAGAACAAATATGTTTATAGAATCACTCCTAATCAATATAAATGTTGAGGTTCAATATAAAGAGATCACAGTTGTGTATGTACAGTGTGCCTCAAATACAGGAAAATATAAAATAAATGGTAAACATATTTTTAAAATAGTAAAGGTTTTATTAACTATTGGTGATATAAATATATAACGAATCATGGGCCCCAGCAGAGAACATTGAACATGGAAACAACTCATCATGAACATAGGGTTTTTACACAGCCAAGCTGTCATAATTACTGGTCTTTTCCTTGTTTGAGAGTGAGCAAAGTTAATAAATCCTGCAAATATGGGCTGAAATAGATGGTCTAAGAAATCACATACAACGCATGATGTGTATCTTGTGCACCACGATAGCGTGAATGGGTCCAGAGAGCTTGCCATTTTCATACTCTCCAATCGTCCCCGGATGCCACAGGTCTGTCCCAGGATTTTAGCACAATCCTGGAACAAATGTTGAGCACTACTGCTCCCCCTGCTAAACCTTATTATTTCATTTACCCCCCGATGAGCAAAACTGTTCCACCCTTCCCCCACTGAGCACAAATTTTCCCCACCACAACTTGCTGCTACAAAGGCAACTTTTTGCCTCCAAGGACCACCAATGCCAGGCATTCTTTCTCCCATGGGCACAAATGCCCAGTATCTTCCCACTAACTACCAACACTGGGCAATGTTTCCCTCCGCTGACTACTGATGCCCGACAATTTTTCCTTCCATTGGCATCTGGTAATGGGCATGTTTTTTCACTCTCTATATCATGCAGCTTTTTTTTTTCCCTAAACAACGATGTTGGGCATTTTTATCTTCCACTGATCCCAGGTAATTTTTTCCTTCCCAGAAACCACTGACAATGGAGTATTTTTTTCTTCCCACTGATCAGCAATGCAAGGGCCCTATGGTACATACTCCTGATTACTTTACTCTATATACTATGTTGTACATTGCACTATACACTGAGTGCAGGGGCTGATTGGCAACTTTTAGCCCAGGGGGCAAGTACAACCAAGAGGCCCATGGTGCGGCAACTTGGCCCCCCTCCCGCTCTGCCTCTTCCCTGCATTCTCCCCGCCCCCATCTACCACTTTTGCCATCCTTGTAACAGTAATGTGAATGTATTTATCGGTTTAGGAAATGTAAAGCACACTGGTAGTGGAGGGATGCTACGTCAGTGCTGTGCGTGTGCATGACTGCTGTTAGTGGGAGAACTTGCACAATTGGTGGCTGACTAAATACATTTTTGCCCAACTGTATATATATACACAGTATCCGATAGGTTTGCAAGTGTTCAGAATGTTTGAATTAAAATTAAAAGAAACAGTAGTTCTACTTTAATGATGTAGACTTGTAAAGTTAATACAGTATGTTCACTTTAAGTAGCATATATCCAGTGTTAAAGCAAAATTTCCATGTCTGATAGTAGTGTACTTTTAGTACAGAACATCCTGACGGCAGGTAATCTTTAAAAGTACTGGGCACACAGCCATATTCTAATGTACACTCCTTTAATACAGTAAGAAAATAAGAACTCTCTTCTCCTATTATCTAAAATCAATTTTCACAGTTCCTTATCAGGCTATCACTCAGATATACACTGGCATATTTAAATATTTGACGTGACCTTATAGTGGTAGTAAGTAAATACTTAATTAAGCAATACTGAGGGTGCGGCAAGTGTTTGTCCAAGATTTGGATGAGTTCAACAGAGTTACTTTCAGATATTAAACACATATCTTAAGCTAGTTTTAACTAGACTATGTATTGCGTCAAGATGTTCAGTATTTATTTGACTATGTATAAAACTGGACTGGTAAATATGAAGTCTAATTTAATAACATGATTCTTGGAACTTGCAAAGATCTGCTTGTTTTTATATTTATGCATTTATTCATGCAAGATACAGTACATATTCACGAAGCCTCCATTTTCTCTTGCTTGTCAAAGGAATGAGAAGTAGATGTCAATAAAATGTATGGCAAGCCAATCCTTTGTTTTAATATTCCCAGAAAGAATATGGAAGGGTTAGAACTAGTATTGCTACAAGCAAAACAAAAATGGTAACTACTCCTCCCTCTGCCTCTTGAAAGCACCTCTAAGAAATTTTGTTTTGAACTCTAATCTAACCGAGTTCCCATTTTGGGACATACAGAGCAATAAATAAATTGAGGGAGGCTATGCCTGGAGGTCATTATATATCACTGTATTTTTTTTAACACATTTTTATGAATGTGGCATCATCATCAATACTAATGACATCTTCCAAAGACCTGCTTTCCAGCTCCCTCTTCAACTCCTCCCATGCTTGCCTCCAGGACTTCTTTAGAATCTTTCAAATCTTCTGAAACTCTTTACCCCAACCTGTCCCGTCTGTCTACCACTCTGACTGCCTT